TGACAATTGTGAAGGATCCCCTTTCCTAGGCTTTTTTGTCTCTATAGGGAGACTTAAAATATATATGGCAGTACAAACAAAGAGAGACAAACTGTCCTATTAGTATAAGAAATGGTTAAATCCTAAAACATAACTTTTTATAGAAGTTGAGAAAAAAATTTAAATAAACTAAATAAACCTAAAGTTTGTGAAAAAGGGATAAGGTAAAAGTGTGTAGGTAAAATATTGTAGGTCAGTACATGTAGATAGTATGTGTATCCATATAAGGTGCACCCACTGTAGACAGACTCATAATAGCTAATAATCATACATAATCGAAACTGTTGTAAATGTTACTAATGTGCAGTTGCAACACTGTATTTGAAATGTCAGCTCAAAGCTCAAATCAAAGAGACAGAATGGTTTACAGCCGTTCCGGAATTCAATGCTATTGAGAACAGTAAAATAGGAGATGTGGACTAAACAGTTATTTGTAAAGATTGTTGCAAAATCTAGATAAATAAAAATATAAACCTCAGATCCAGTTTAGAACACCATCCAAATGTCTAATAAAATTAGAATGTTATGTTTACAGCTTCTTTTTTGTGCAACCCGTATGATCAAGAGGTACTAAGCTAAGAGTCTAATAACAGATTGCGGCAGAACACTAGGCTCCTAAAATCCTAAATAGAATGTATCAAAACTCTGTGCCTTCGAGGGCACCTATCATAAAGAGAGAGCACTAATCTAACTGCCTTACTGATCTAGATTATACCTGGACTACTAATGTAATGGTTAATAATCAGTAATAGCAAACAGAGTAGGTATGACCAGACTTATTAACCCCTTAAGCACTGAGCCAAATGTACACGTCGTGATCAAAACAAAACGTAAACAAAACCTGGAATTTTACTATATGTCTGTTCAACCGTAATTCACCTCTTATTATATATCATTTTATTCAGGGGAAACAGGGCATTCATTTAACATCAAATATTTAGCTATGAAATACAATTTAATATGAATAAAATATAAAAAAAAATGGGAGAAAATAAGAATTTTTTTTTTTCAGTTCTACATGACATTTCAACTGTGAATGTCATAATACTGTTTGCTTTTACTGCAATAAAATAAACATATTTCTATTCAGTGATGTATCACATGTAAAACAGTACCCCTTATGTACAGGTTTTATGATGTTTTGGGAAGTTACAGGGTCAAATATAACATGTTACATTTTTCAGTTTAACCCCTTCCCGACCGCAGACGGAAATTTTCCGTCAACCTTGTTCTTCAGTTAAGGACCGTTGATGGAAAATTTCCGTCTTTTACTAAAGTTAACCCCAGATCGCGGTGATCACGGCGATCGCGGGGTTAACGGTGCTCCGGTCTGCCTCTGTATTCGAGGCAGACCGTGCGCACTGGATCGCGCTGCCCCAGCACCGGTGCTCGCTCTGACAGGCTGTCAGAGCGAGCACATGTGCTCAGTATACTCACCTTCTGCCTCCCTGCACTTCCGGGTTCTGTGTGAAGTGCAGGGAGACGGATCAGTGCTGCTGATCTTCTCCCTGTGTAAAAAAATTAAAAAATAAAGTTAAATCCCACCCCCCCCTTTCCCCTGCTTTAATAAAATTAACCCCTTCCCTGCCAATTGATCACTGACTACAGTGATCAATTGGCAGGGTATACATTTTAATGTCATCTGATTTTTTTTTTTTAACCTCTGAGGGTTATTTTTTTTTTTAACCCTCAGGGGTTAAATTTATTTTATTAATTCATTTAAATATTTCAAAATTATATATTAAGCTAGCTGGGATGGGTGGAAGTTAGTGGGGAATTTGGTGTTAGGCTAACTAGGAGTTAACGTTAAAGAAAAGTTTTAAAATAAGCTTTAAAAAGGCAAAAAAAGTTTTAAAAAAATGTTTTAGTAACGTAAAAAAAAATACCACCCCGCTTTACCCAGTCTAAATAAAAATTAACCCCTTCCCTGCCAGATGATCACTGCCTACAGTGATCAAAATACAGATCACAGTATTATACTGTAATCTAATTTCTTTTAACCTCTGAGGAATAACTTTTATTTATTTTTTAACCCTCAGGGGTTCAATTTATTTAATTAATTTAAATATTTTATAACTATATATATTTTGCCAGCTGGAGTGGGTGGGAGTTATGGGAAAGGGGGGAATTTACTGTTAGTGCTGCTTACTGCTAGTTAGGGGTTAACGGTAAAAGAAAAGTTTAGAAAAAAAGTTAAGAAAGTGTAAAACATTTAATAAGTAAAAAAAAATGTTTAAAAACGAGTTTTACAAAGTCAAAAAAGTTTTACAAAGTAAAAAAATACATAAAAAATGCTCATTACCACTACGCTTGGTACAAGCTAACGGAAAAATGATCCCATGCTAAGGTTCAAAATATGCCTTTTGAATTACCCTGGGATGTCTTCTTTAAGAAATGGTATGCCTTTATGGTGTAATTGGATTTTATAGCCTTGTAAAATACTATAAAATGGGCCATGGACACAGCATAAAAATTAAAAATTTGAGAAAAACTGGAATGGCTGTGTCTCAAATGTGCCCCTTCAATGTCCACATATACCTGGCAAAGGTACATATGGGGATATTGCTGTACTCAGCCGACATAGCTGAGCAACATATGAAGTATTATACAGTCGTAGCACACATAAGGTTTGCAAAATATACTGCGCAAACTCACTTTGTGTGTCAAAAAGGCAGAAACAATGCTTATTACCACTACACTTGGTACAAGCTAGCAGAAAAATGATCCCACGCTAAGGTTCAAAATATGCCTATTGAATTGCCCTGGGATGTCTTCTTTAAGAAATGGTATGCCTTTATGGGGTAATTGTATTATATAGCCTTGTAAAATACTCTAAAATGGGACATGGACACAGCGTAAAAATTCAAAATTTGAGGAAAACTGGAATGGCTGTGTCTCAAATGTGCCCCTTCAATGTCCACATATACCTGGCAAAGGTACATACGGGGGTATTGCTGTACTCGGACCACATAGCTGAGCAACATATGAAGTAGTATACAGTAGATGTGTTCTTTAAGAAATGGTATGCCTTTATGGTGTAGTTGTAATATGTAGCCTGCTCAAGTGCTCCAAAGTGGGACACAGACGCATCAAAACCCTCCATGAAAATTCACACTTAAAAACCTTAATTGTCACGTCTCTTTTACAGCAGTGTAACTTCACAAAATAGTGTCTTGGTCATACATTGGGCATATTGTTTTACTCAGAAGACTTAGCTGAGCGTAATCTGGGGGGTTTGAACTTAGTGGCACATATGAAATGTACAAAATGCCCAGCAAAAATGTAATCCGTATATAAAAAATGCCCCAAATATTTTTTTACCACATGCTTTGGCATATATTGGTGAAAAAATGGGGCCATGTTAAGGCACAATATGCACCATATGAGATACTCTGGAGTATCTACTTTTACAAATGGTAGGCCTTTGTGGGGTTTTTTTGAACAGTCAAACTACTATAATACCCCAAATTGAAGCATAGGCCCATTAAACCCGCCTCTCAAAATTCTACTGTAAATGTTGAAACGGATAGGTCTCCTATATGGCACTGTAGCTTCACGAAATAGTGCCAAAGACATACAATGGGGGTATCGTTGTACTCAGCAGAAGTAACTGAACACAAAATAAAACTTTGTACAGGATTAGCACATACCAACTTTACAAAATACACATGAGAAGTTCTTTTATAAGTTTGTGTGCCAAAAACCCCAAAAAACTAAATTTTACTCCAATATTTAGAAGAGATTGTCGGTGAAATGGCTACATAGAAAGTGTCAAAACAACCTTAGGTCAATAGCCTGTGATGTCTACTTTATATAAATATATACTTTTGTAAAAACACAATGGGAAAAACAGGCATAGGGTAATAACGTACAAATAATATATGAACGGGTGAATACTTGAATAAACTCACATATTCATGAGCCACTTAATATGAAAGCTGGCTCAGACTAGGAACATTGAATGGATTAGTGAGGTGGTCGTTGTAATCCAACTGCTTAATTGCTTGCTCCTTCTTGCTTTACAAAATCCAGGATGCAGGATCTTTAATGAAAACCTTTATTCGGTATAGCAGCAAAAAAAGATAGCAGCAGTAAAAGTTAAAATTCAGCAATTCCACCTCTGCACACTAACGCGTTTCAGCCAAAGCCTTTATCAAAGTGTTGGCTGAAACGCGTTAGTGTGCAGAGGTGGAATTGCTGAATTTTAACTTTTACTGCTGCTGTCTTTTTTTGCTGCTATACCGAATAAAGGTTTTCATTAAAGATCCTGCATCCTGGATTTTGTAAAGCAAGAAGGAGCAAGCAATTAAGCAGTTGGATTACAACGACCACCTCACTAATCCATTCAATGTTCCTAGTCTGAGCCAGCTTTTATATTAAGTGGCTCATGAATATGTGAGTTTATTCAAGTATTCACCCATTCATATATTATTTGTACGTTATTACCCTATGCCTGTTTTTCCCATTGTGTTTTTACAGGTTTTATATTGGATATAAGGGTAATTATTGTTTCTCTGTGCTCTCACCATTCTTTACTGTTTTAACCATTTATTTATGTGAGGTGGAGTGACCCACATTGCTGGTGATTGTAGCACTTTGTCTTATATTGTTTTTTTCACCATATATACACTTATTTTAATATACTTTTGTGTGGCAATTTTGTTTTCTTTTATGGCTATTAAGCTTACAAGACAAACATACTAAATTCTAAAATCGCTCCACATTAAAAGTTTATTTTACTCCTTGTGCTTTGTGACCTGTAACTACCAAAAAAAACCTTAACATCCCAGACATATTATATATTCTGTAAATCAGAACAACTAAATGAATTTATTTTTAATTACTTTCTTTAATCTGCACTAATAAGGCTCACATTATTATTGCAAAAACTGTACAAAAAAACACATTTTATTTATTTTTTGAATTTTTCTGTATTTTTTAAATAATAAGTAAGCGCATATATATATATATATAAATATATATATATATATATATATGTGTGTGTGTGTGTTACATCAAATTAAAGCCCTTTCTGTCCTTTAAAAAACAGTATATAATATGTGTCGGTGCAATAAACGAGAGAGATGCAAATTGCAGTTGAATGCATACAGCAAGAAAATGCGAAAATTGCTTGTGTCATTAAGCGTAAGACAAGCTTCTGAAGCTGTGTCCTTAAGGGGTTAAACACATTGAAATTCACCAGATTGGTTATGTTGCCTTTGATCTAAGTACTTTTATATACACATACATAAACCATTAATAAAAGTGTATTTTAATATTAATATATATATATTTATAATAAAAAAAATACACGTAGAATGATGTTAATTATATATATATATATATATATATATATATATATATATATAAATGAAAAGAAGTGAACTTGGCACTCACCCTTTGATGCAGATATATTAATATTCTTGCCTGGGTGCAAACCTCAGCGTCAATACAAATGGCAAAAAAATACATATAAGGTGCACTCTCAGGTCTTAACAAGTGATTAATTTATTCTAAATGCAAGTTACATGTGCAAAAAAAAATATTACAGTGATCAGCGTTTTGACCCCTATAGGGCCTTTTTCAAGATCTTGTACAAAGGTCCAGAGTAGTCCAGAGAGAGAACTGTATGCCTGGAGGTATCATGAATGAGCCCCAATGCAACAGTTTTGAACATGTATGATTATTAGCTAGTATGTGCCTTTGTCTACAGTGAGTGCACCTTATACAGATACACATACTCTCTACGTGTACTGACGTACAATATTTTACCTACACACTTTTACCTTATCCCTTTTTCACAAACGTTAGGTTTATTTAGTTTCTTTTAATTTTTATCTCAACTTTTATTAAAAGTTATGTTTTAAGATTTAATAATTTCTTTTACCAATAAAACAGTTTGTCTCTCTTTGTTTTTTCTAGAATACTAAGTGTTACCACCTGTACTGTCCTGGTTTTTTTTCTAGGTAACTTGCTTCCAACTTTCTTCTGGTCTAACTATATATGGCAGCAGGGCTGCCATCATAAATTCTGGGGCCCCTAACACAGCTCAAGATCTGGGCCCCAGGGTACCCGCCTCCAAGCCCCTCCTCCAAATCCCACCCACAGGAATACACACACACAGACACAAAAGGACACAGACACACACACAGAAAAATACTGAAACCGAAATACACACATACAGGCATAGTGACACACACATACTGAAACAGACACACACATATACAGACACACACATGCATAAGGAGATACAGATGCCCACACACTGACGTACATACATACTCGCATACTGACACACATACATACTGACATAAATACACACATACATACTGATATATACATACAGGCATACACACACATACATATATACATACATACATATATATATATATATATATATATATATATATATATATACACACATACATACCGACAGACATACATACAGGCATACACACACATACATACCGACAGACATACATACAGGCATACACACACATACATATATACATAGATACATTGATAGATACACACATACATACTGATAGATATATACATATACATACACACATACTGACATACACACACAGACATACATACATGCTTACTGACATACATACACACATACATACTGATCGATATATACATACAGGCATACACACACACACATACATAGATATATACACACATACATACTGACAGACATACATACACATACATACATAGATACACACATACATACTGACAGATATATACATATACATAACATATACATAACATGACAAACACATACAGACCTACATACATACATACTGACATACACACATACTGACAAACAGACATATATACATGCAGACACATACATACATTCTGATATACATACACACATACATTTTTCAGCCACCCTCCTATTCCTTACCTTTAAGTTGCAGGAGGGTGGCTGGGGATGATGGGAGCGGATGCCTCTCCTCTCCTCTGCTGTCTCTCCCCTTTCCGGGCGGAGTAAGCTGGGAGGAAGTGACTGGCCGTCACTTCCTGCCAGCAGCATTTGCGGTGCAGCCGCATTTAAAAAAAAAAAAATGACAGTGCTGACTGGCCCCTGAAGATATAGGGCTCATCGGGTGGCCTTAAATGCTTGGGCCACCTGATGGGCCCCGGTGCAGATGCACCTGCGGCAGTTTCGCCGCTCCACGTGGGGCCCCGGATGGCCGGGCCCCCCAGGGCCGCCGGGCCCGTGACAACCGTCAAAGTTGTAACCTCCTGATGGCGGCCCTGTTAATGGCAGTGTTCACTTCACTGGTTGCCCAAGGAAATTATATTTCACAGTATAACGCTTGCTTACGTATGAACTCTCATACAATACACAATTCAAAACTTCACTTCTCCATCTATATCAAAAAGAAAAGATACAGGAACACAGAGATATGATACAAAAGACAGGGTGAAACTACTATTTAGTAGATAAGCCTGGTGGCACTAGATATTTTTCTTCTATTTTACCTATAAGCAGTGTATATGATAAATAAATAGACCATGATTTGCCTCAGATACAAATGGGATAAAATAAAATAGGGGTATAATTCCAAAGTGAAGGCACAGGCACTATACAAGAGAGAAGCAAAAAGAACCATTTAGCTGACAGGTCTCTATAGCGTTGGTCTATGTAATCAGAATGACCTATTATGCTCTTAGGCAGTGATACAACATATATCCAACTCACCTTCCTTTGCTATCCTTGAAAGACCCCTAAGGTTTAATACAAAATCAGACTAGTTGCAACATCCCTATGCTAGCACCTACGAGAGACACATTGAAAAATCTAACTATTTCTTAACACTAGCATAGAAAGACTTCCATGTGTGGGAATCTTTCTTTCATTGTACTATTTTACTGCAATTATATTTTGGATTAAGACCTCCTGCTAGTGCTAATGGTGACATATACCTGGCCTTTCCTGACATGTGGCACAATGAATCTGTCAATTACTCTTCACAATGTTGGAAATACTAGCGACCACATGCTGACCTTTACAACGGTTTCTGGATCTGCTCTCAGTCTGGACCACTTTCAACAACTTTGTCACCCCTCACTGACTTCTGCAAATCCAACTGACACCAGATTTCAATATATTTAGCATTTGACCCACCACAATTCACAACTATTCCCAGATATTGCAAATCCTATCAGTGGTGGCTAGGGAAACCTTACTTTATTTCTGGAAACAACCTACCTCACCATCTCCCTCATTGTTCAAAGAAAACTATTATTTGTGTTTAAAATGGAAAGGTTAGACACACTCCCAAATAAAGATCTAAGGGCCAAAAAGTTCCTTATGTGTTGGAAAACTTACATTCTAACACTGGAACAATCTCTCCAACAGCACATTAGATCCTATTTAGATCATACCCAATGGTTCATGTAACAAACTTTATTGGGACAGCTTCCTCTACCTTGAAAAACAGGCAGAACACTAAAGCTTTTCCCTCCCCCTTCCTATTTGATCAACAACAATGTCAGTTTTGAAGTAGAAGTTTTTATGTTCTAGTTTAATTATATTGGCTACTCGGTCCTGTACTTATCATGTACCCATAGCTTTGGATATCTGGATCTGTCAAATGCCTTATCTTTGCTCACAATCTCACAAGCCTGTAAGCTGCTTACATGGTTCTCACTTGCACAATGCTATTTGTATGTATGTTATCTTTAAATGTAAAACATGGAATTCATGGATTTGTTTTATCTCTTTTCCTATTATGGCTAGCTTGACTAATAAAAATGTGTTTGAACAAAATAAGAGGTCACATTAATTTCCAATGACTTCCATTTTCCTTTGTTCAAAAATCAATCAATCTTGGCAATACAACATTTTCCCCTCTCTCCCCTTCTTTTCTGATCCACATCAGTTTTCATTTAGATTTTTCAGGTTCTTGGTTTCTTTTTTTTTTGGCCTGTTGGCCCTCTAACCTTAATTTCCTTGGATCTTTGCACAAACATCATTGTTTGCTTATTGCCTTCTTTGTGCACAATTTATCATAGGTTACTAGCTACCTTTATGTTTTATATTTTGTTTTGTTTATTGTACTTAAATATAATTAATGGAATCTATTATACTGTTTTACTCCTATGTCTGCTAAATCTAATTTCATTAATATAAATGTTTTGGAAAAAAATATGAAAATATACAACCCACCCCTCTCCCTGTGGCAATAATGTTGTATTTATCATTGACTTGCACATTATTAAATTGATACAAGTTTCATATTTGGGATAAAGTCTTTGAGAGAGTTTACCAACATGAAGTCTAAATAAAAGCTTAAGGTCTATCCACAAACCAGTATCTCAATTTATAGTCTCTCAATAGACAACATTTTTGTCTTTTCTGCTTTATTAGGTGTAAATATACAGGTATGACACAGACGTTTCATGCTCTATAGAGCTACTAGTAAAGTCCTCATGGGCTTTAAATGCAATCTAGACTTTCTTTTCTTGAACAGCACATTTTTTTTGCAAAATAATGCCAAGCATTCTGTGCAAACACCCTTGGAGGTGTTTGTCCACTGCTTTTACGTCAACATTGATGAGATGTGGTAGGGCATACTTGATAGGCTGATTCAGCTAATGGTATTCCTGCTGGGCACAGTAAGTTGACTGGCAAATAATACATTAATAGCAAGGCTGTGTAGTGCAGAAGCAGGGAAAATAATATGTGTCTATTCCTTATAAGACATGGCACTTTGCCAGGCATATTGGGTCCTCTGGCAAGCAAAGTGATCAAAACCAAGGGTACATACTGTAGGGGGCTGTATGAACATGTGGCTATTCATTTTATAACATGGAACACTTGCTGAGCATACCTGCTGGGCACATTGAGCTAATGACATGCTTGCTAGGCACATTGGGTTCTTTGGAAAGCAAAGCAGTCAAGAGGAAGTCTGCATTGTGTAGGAGTAGTGAGAATGTACATGTGAATGTATGACATACTACACTTGCTGGGCACATCTGCTGGGCACATTGATCTAATGGCACACTTCCTGGGCACGTTGAGTTCTCTAGTAAAAAAAAGTAGTTGGGACTTGGCTGCATAGTGCAAGAATGGACTTGCTGGGCACAAAAGAGTAAGAAAAAGGCTCTCTGGCAAACAATTCTTATCGTTCAAAGCTTTAACCTGTAGGAGATC